ACACACCAAATAAAAGAGAAAAAACAAAAACAGGCCGTGTGTGACCGGCCTCAAGCAGTTGTCCCCTGGGCTCTGCGGTCACGCAACCAACTTCCACGGTGTGGGCAGCTGGGAAGTAACAATCGCCCTCACACTCCAAAGTGCACGCAAAACCTCTATAATCCTCACTCATCTTTGTATCCATCTTCATCTCTATTATCTTGCCTTCCTTCTACTAATGCAACTCCTCTACTTGATGGCCCTTCACTTCCTCCTCAATCTGTGTGCACTGATAACGATGGAAGCCAAAAAGCCACCATCGATAGTCTCCCAGTGAGGTCCAATTAGATGTCACGTGTGTGGATGGATGTCCCACCAACCACAATGCTTGTGGTCGCGCCAAATCACGAATTGGTAGAAGTTAGAATTCATGGGTTGGCCATTGAATTCGGTTCCAGTGGCTGAATGGTATACGAGCTTGCGTTGTAATCGGAAGGTCCTGGGTTCGAATCCCTTACAAACCAAACTATACATAATAAGGAAAAAGTCATTAGAGATGTTCCAAATAAGTCACCAGTTTTGAACATTTCAAAGACTTTAGTTAGGTAGTTAAATTGACGTAATCAACATTAGCATACTGAATTGAACAATAACAAAAAGGTAAATTGATCAATGATAATACAATTTTCAAGATTCATATAATGAAAAAAGGAAAATGGAATGACATAAGCATATGAATCTATGCATGAATTAAGTCAGCATTTGTCTATCTATACCAAGATTGTGTCATGTGTTAACCCAACAGAAAGTTGATGTAACTTCTGAGGTAAATGATGTCTTCATACACTTTAATCTACAATAATACATGTAATGTTGGAGTAGATATGTTCCATAGTAAGCATTTCATTTTAATAGACAAGAAGAAAAGAACCTCAAATATTTTTAAATATTTACTCAAAAGTGTTTACAAAGATGGATAATTATCTACGTGTTTACACGATAAGAAAATATTTCGAGTATTTATTATTCCAAGTCACTTATGAGAAGATTGCTTGTTATGAAACCGGAGGAAATTACAGAAATTTACAAGTCAGTTTTACGATAAAGTTACATAAACATGAGAATAAGAGGCATGAAACCTAAAAGTAATTGAAGCTGTTCTTACTTATTTTTTTGTTTTTCTGATTTATAAACTTGAAGATTTAATTGACAAATTAAACTACAGTCAAACAACTAATACTAATGAAGAGAAAGTAGAAATACTCATGACATGGGTTTAAAAACCAGCGTTTTTACAGGTTAAACCATGATAATATTATTGGAAAATACTCCGTCTCGTTATAACTTTTGTCTGCAAACTCAGTTTTAGTCTAAAACAATTAATTACCTTTATGGATTTAGACAAATCAATAAGAAGAGGCAATTTATCTTAATCGTGTACATAGGGAAGACTCATCGATCTCTGCAAGTAATGGCCGGCTTGACAGCATATTCCTAAATGGCTTCAGAAGCAAAAAGAATCCTCAGAACCCATTAATAGTGAGAACAGGAAACCTAGCCCCCCCTTGCATCTCATCAGGTAAAACCAGAAGCCTATATAGAAAACTATATGCTAGCACCAGCAAGTACAAAAACTCAACCATACCCTACTTAGCTTGTGTTCTGTGTGATAAAGAAAGCATTAGGAGTGACACCTATAATGCATTAAATAGTCAGTAGAACAACTGGATCCAGTCTTTCCAACTCATATCATTTATAGGTATATTTTCTTTCTTTTCCTTTTCTCTCTCTTTTTCCGTTATGTGCTGCTTTGTTTCTTTCTGTCGCTTACGCCAGTAAATATGACAGCTCCTTCTTTTCTAACACCTTCAAACACTGTTTCAGCTTTACCTTTGCTACCGACATGCCAGTGTGTTGTTGTAATAATGAAGTGAGATTTCCTCAATCTATGTAGAATTCTATTTATTGATAATGTACTAACTGGATGCGATACTGTAGTAAAAATGCTGAGAATTCCATTCTGTATCACATGTACTGTTTTGGAATAAAGCAAATTACTATTATATTATAGAGACAGGACATAAAATTGATGTTTACACATCTTTTAAACCTATCTATAAAACGTGTTTGGGGCGTATCCTAAAGTTTGTGGAAGCCCTATCAATTAGGAAGTTTACACCACATTTATGCATTCAAAAACAATTCGTCATCACACTGAACCTTCCTTGGAAAACTATGTTTTGATATCATAGCACATGTGCTATTGCCTCTCTCATTTGGTTTATTGATTTTCGTTGTCAGTTTAGCTCATTATACATGATTCACCTAACACAATACAATAGATCTCCATGTTTATGTTTAACTACTATACACCAGTCAAAGTTCACAACTTTACCTGAGTGTTTATTTACATCGATTTTAAAATATAGGTCAAACAGTCTTAGCTTATAAATATATATTCATCACAAAACTTATGATGACCTTTTATTCATCTTATGTTCCATTTTTCATGTCAATTTTCAAAAAGATAAACAATTGATGATACACTCAAAACATGATATTAGATGTTGGATACATCTCATCATGAAATCTCAAGTATTCATTTCATTTTGTACAAGATTCACTAATCTACTTTACTTGAGTAGTATTATGTGTGTGTGTGTGTTCAATCAATTAAGCTCAAAGCTGTCGCCTGTAACTATATCCTACAAAGTATAATCAATCGCGCTTCATGTTGGATCTTTGGATTTTCATATAGATGTAAAACAGCTCTTTTATCTTAAAACTCTTGACCTTTTAGCAAAACAACTCTCTCTCTCTCAAGAGATATACACAACACACAAACCAGAGTGTTGTAAAGCAAAGAACCCGATGAATCGCAGGGATTTCTAAGTAAATGAAGCAAAGTTATATATGTCTAAACCAAGTTCACTTTTAACGGTTTGAAAAAATTTGGGCATTGGGTGGTATATGATATTCATTATAATAAAGGTTGTTTTGCATTTCCCAATGAATGAAAAACAAAACGATATTGTTTTTACTCACATTTCGCTATTTAATGCTAATAGCTTTATCAAAGTATTATTAAACCGGAATTTACAAAATCTCAGCATATATATATAACAAAGAGTTAGGGGGTGAGAAAATAGACTTAGGTCAAGTTAAAAGGACATATTGAAAGTCAAATTAGCAATGAAGATCACTAAACCAAATAACAAAGGTAATAGTACGTCTGTTATGATATCAAAATAAAGTTTACTAACTGGATCATCGATATCAGAAGAGTACTCAATCAGCTCGACATTAGAGTTTTCTTCAGAACATCAGATACACTTCAAAGCAACCTTTTCCATATAAAAGACCAAATCCCTAAAGATTCTCTATCTAATTGTGTATATAAAATGAAATGCTTCGAATGTGATGCGATATACATCGGACAAACAGCTCGATAAATCAAAATCAGAAGAAATGAAAACCGTAGAGCATCTCTTTGACCACCGAGAAATCCGGTTTAACTAGAAAAACTTGAAAAATCATCAGCCATAGGTCTACACGCTAAAAAATCAGGCTGCAAAATTGATTTTAACAATATTGAAATAATCCAGAGAAACTTCAGAAATCACAAAGAACGTCTAATATTAGAAGCAGTTCATATCAAGTGGAATCCAAATTGCCTGAATAGGAATGATGGACTAAAACATAATCTGACCTGGTTACAACACATCCCTCCCCCATGAAGTGGCAAAATCAATACGAATGTGATAAGCAAGTTCACTATGTAAACACACACTGCTTTTATAATTTTACACACTGATCAAATCCAACAATCTACACTTGGTTTTGTTATCTTTACCAATTGACCAACTTGACTACTAAAAAATGCCCCCAGACAGACGAACGATGATCAAGTTAGTAAACTTTATTTTGATATCATTACAGACGTACTATTACCTGCGTTATTTGGTTTGGTGATCTTCATTGTTATTTTAACTTGACCTAAGTTTATTTTCTCACCCCCTAACTCTTTGTTATATGTATGCTGAGATTTTGTAAATTCCGGTTTAATAATACTTTGATAAAGCTATTGGCAGCATTAAATAGCGAGACGTCAGCAAAAACAATATCGTTTTGTTTTTCATTCGTTGAGAAATATAAAAACCTTTATTATAATAAATGAAGCAAAATTCCAGCAATACACATATAGAAGTCAAACTGAGAATTCACTCCCATATGAAGTGACCTATGTCTTACTGTGAATCACAAGGTTTTATTTAATCCATAAAACATTTATATTTTATATTTTAATACATTTCTGAAGTAAATTTCACCCACAGTATGTATTAAAAAATAACCCTAATCGACTACGATTGATTTTCGGTTTAGACATTCGGTTATATTTCATAACAATTACCGAAAGAGATCTTTTCGGTGGTTACATCTAATAATCTGGCCTAAATTGTTCATTGTTTACATACCAGTTCCATTACACTGCAGAAACGGTAGTTCAACACCCGAAGCTTTCTCAAATTCTCTAATGTTAACAGCCATACTTTATAATCATATAGTTAGACGAGTTATATTATGGTTGAGCAATAAACTCCATCTTTTCTACACAGGCTGCCAGTGCCATAGATGATATAATCTGATCAAATCCAATCAAACTCCACACTTCATTGTCAAGATTTTCATACACATATTGTTGTGGACGTCAGTTTCCATAGACTGAGATAAAATTTGATAACACTATTACTGATCGAATGAAGGGGAACAACAATAAGTGACTGAATCGCTACGGTTAGTAGCCTAGTCCACACCAACTTATAGTGAACTGGGTTGTCTATTGTTTGAGTGTATAACTTCCATTTTTTTATTGAAATGTTTTACTCAATATAAACTACTACTATGTGGTAGACGTTTCAAAAATATACCAGTCAACTAAATTCAATGCAATTCTGTTCAAACATAAATTATTATATGGAGAAAAAAAAGAGAAAAGTAAACAAGTAGTTAATAAAACTTACAGTCAACTTGACGCCAACTGAGATAATCACGTAAAGTTTTATTCGATGGATAAAGTATCACTCTGGAGTCGAATGATGGTGGATAGAGTAGGGGATCAGGGAAGAAGTTCGACCATTCAAAAACATAAGAAGAGGAGAACAACGAAACCACAGTACTGGATATTTTGCTGAAATCGTTTTTGAAGTACGAAAAAGACAATTTGAAGAGTAAATTTCAATCAAAATAATATATGAATGAAAATAAAAATGATTAGTTTTGAGGTGAGAAGTTTACACACCAACTACTGCAGCTCTAAAAGCAGTTGGTAATGAATTGAACGTTGACTTTCAACTCAAAAATAAGACTCTAGTTCCAGTTGAAGGGATAATATTAAGTGTTCAACTATGCTACACCCTTAGTATATTCAAATTTCAATAATGAACAAAGCAAAGATCAGTGGGATCGCTAATATTCCCAGTAATAGAAGACATTTTTGAATAGTTTGAAATATAAATCTCTTAGAGCGTTTAATTGTACTCTTAGTTTATGGTGGACGTACCCTGAACACCTTGAGCAGCAATCTTCGTATGTTTGGCATGCGATTCACCCCTGTAAAATGTAAGATGCTGCCACAGGACTGGACTACGTCAACTCCTAGCTTAGTGATAGGGAGTGAAGTGAGAGAACATGTTGACCACTTCACCTATTTGGGAAGTTGTATCAGCACCAACGGACTGATTGGCGACGAAATCTCAGCACGGATCCAAAAAGCTAAAGCTGCTTTTGCTAACTTACGCCATCTCTGGCGTAGGCGTGACATCTGGCTATCAACCAAGGGATGTGTGTACTGCTCACCAGTTCGCTCCGTCCTTCTCTATGGATCTGAAACATGGCCAATACGAGTTGAAGACATGAAAAGGTTGACTGTTTTTGATAATAGATATCCACGATCTCTCTCTCACGTTAGGTGGCATAATAAGGTAAGTAATGTTGACGTTAGGCGTAGTGTTGGGCAAAGAGGGAAAATCAATTGAAGAGGCTATTAAGCTACATAGATTGAGATGGCTAGGTCACGTGATGCGCATCGGTCGGTCGGTCGGTTTTCGACATAGAATTTTGCACATATGTGCGGCAGTTCAAGTCGCCACAATCTATGTAGCACGCAGAGCAAGAGAAGAAAGTAGAAGAAATGCATAATATAGACAGTAAACAGAGGTGTGAGACAAAGGAATAGTAATAACGGAGAACAAAAGTTTAATTGGAAATCATAAGTCACAAGGAGTGGATGCATCTGCGCCACTGAGAACGATTTTGGGCCATGTCACCAATTGTTTCCAACCATTGGTTTTTACCATCCCGAGGGCCGCAACCAGGAAGTCTACATCTTCCTACGTGGCTTAGATTAACTGTTGTGGATTTCATTGATTGGTGCCATGTTTTGGTTTGACCGCCGCTAGCTCTTTTCCAGCCTGACCCTATATCAGCTAACATTGCCCGTCGAGGAAGGCGATGACTAGGCATACGTAGCACATGTCCTAACCATCTCAGTCGGAGTAATTTCACAGTCTCGTCGATTGATTTCCCCGCCTTACCTAGCACTCGACGCCTAACCTCAATATTGCTCACCTTATTATACCACTTCACGCGGGAGATAGAACGCAGACACCTATGATCGAAGACAGCTAATCTTTTCATGTCTTCTGCTGTCAATGGCCAGGTCTCACAGCCATAAAGGAGGACGGAGCGGACTGTTGAGCAGTACACACGCCCTTTGGTCGATAGTCGGATATCGCGTCTACGCCAGAGACGGCGAAAACTGGCGAATGCGAACCTAGCCCTCTGTATTCGTGCTGAAATTTCGTCGGAGATCAACCCGTTGGGGCTGATGGTACTTCCCAAGTAAGTGAAGCGGTCAACGTGTTCTACCACTTCACTTCCTATTTCTAATCTAGGGGTCGATGAAGTCCAATCCTGCAGCATCATCTTACATTTTATAGGGGCGAATCGCATGCCAAACATGCGGAGATTGTTGCTCAGGGTGTTCAGCAGACTCTGCATTTTGTCAGAGTCCTCGCCTAGAAGGACTATATCGTCCGCATATTCTAAGTCAACGAGATTCTTCCCTGGTAGCAAGTCAATCCCTGAGTCACTGAAGTGAGTTAGGGTTAAGTCCATTAGTACATCTATGATGAAATTGAATAGGAATGGGGATAATGGACATCCTTGACGGACGCCACTAGTCGTCACCACTTCAGATGACAACTCGCCATAAGCCCTCACCTGGCTGCATGAGTACGAGTAGAGTGCCTTAATCAGTGCAATGTATTTTCTTGGCATTCCCTTTACAGCCAAGCATCGCCAGAGAACCTCCCGGTCGACAGAATCGAATGCCGCCTTTAGGTCAAGAAATATAATGATTGTCGGACGCCGGTAGGAATGCCTATGTTCTAGAATCTGTCGAAGGGTGAAGATGTGATCAATACACCCTCTACCTGGCCTAAAACCTGCCTGGTTTTCTCGTGTTTGTGTCTCCCGAGCACCACTTAATCTACGCAGTATTATTGAGCCTAGGATTTTAGATACTATATTAGTCAAGCTAATCCCTCTGTGATTATCACAAGACGACTTGTCCCCCTTCTTGTATATCGGGATGATCAGTGACTTACACCAACCCGATGGGACTTCCTCTGATTCCCAGACGCTGCCTAGAACCTCCGTTAACGCAGACAGTAAACTGTCGCCGCCGTACTTAAATACCTCTGGAGTCAATAAATCAGGTCCCGCTGCTTTGCCTAGCTTCAGATTGGTGACAGCTTTAGTAACCTCGGTTAAGGACGGAGGACCTGTGTCTATCTCCCATTCAGGGAGGTGTTGGATGTCCGGTAGGTTAAGTGTGGCTGTGGGCCAATTAAACTGCTCCTCATAGTGTTCTTTCCAGCGCTCCAGACGTCTATCCTGGGAGCTAATTATGGTGCCATTTTTCTCGGAGATTGTTTCGCTTATCATTTGTTTTTTACCACCTGTTTCCCTGATAAGCCTGAATAGTTGTCTGGTGTTGCCTATCGCCGATGCTTTTTCCATCTCTTTCGCCTTTGTCAACCACCACTGTTCACGGTCCTTGCGGAGACTTTTCGTAAGTTTCCTCTTGTGCAGCTTTCGCTCCTCATTGAATTCGGAGCTCGCCGGAATAAGTCTTCTAGCATCTATCAGTTCGGATGAGGCAGTCGAAATCCAGTGGTTTTTACTCACCTTTGGAATTACCTTATTCACAGCTTTTACAGCTGTATCTATGGCTGACTGAATATTCTTCCAGGCTTCTTCAGGGTGAGCGCAGCTGTCAAACTCAGATATGTGTTTAGCTAGTTCTTCCTCAAATAGGGACTTAGTTCCCTGGTCGAGCTGGGGACGTGATGGGTTTACCGCCAGCTGTTTCCTACGTCCGTTCAGTCGTAAGCACACACGAGCGCGGACCAGTGCGTGATCCGTATCTACACACGTGTTCCAGAAGGAGCGGCATGCGCATGCCCAACCATCGCCTCCCCCGACGGACGGGCATTACTAGCTGATATAGGTGCAGGTTGGAAAAGAGTAAGTGGTGGCCAAACAAAAACATGGCCTCATCAATCCATGAAATCCTTGACAGTTAAACTGAGTCAGGTAGCGATGGAGATGCAGACTTCCAGGTTGGGGCCCGCCCTCGGGACTCTAAGAATCAGTGGCTGGAGACAATAGGTGACATGGCTCAAAATCGTTGTCAATGGCTTACTCAGATGTATTCAGTCTCTGTAATCTTTCATATTCCTTTCTACCATTACTCATTCTGTTTCACTCTTACACTTGTCAAAACTCTATTGATTCTCTTCACTCATCTTCTTGTCTACCTTTGTGTGCTATTTGGAACGTGGCCACTGGAACTGGTGCACTTCGGTGCCAAGTTCTATGTTGAATCCAGACAGACAGACAGACAGGAGGTATGACGCCGACACATTTACTGTTTTGAAATATAAAACACCTCCTCAATTTTTTCATACATACGAATTCACTAGTAGATGGAATATACTTTACTTTCGACTTAGAAAAAGGTAAATTAGGTATACTAGACAGTAGGCAATAGGATGGTGGGTTAAATATTAGAATTTCTAACAAGCTGTAGTATTCGGATAGGCACTTAAACTTTGAATCATCCCACCCAAAATTAGTAAAAGTAGGTTTAGTTAAATGTTTGCGTAATCGAGCCAGGAGCCGAAACTTGTAAGTCAGGAAATTTAAATACGGGAATCAGACAAATGAAGAAAATATTACTAGTGAATAGCCACTCACCATAATGCATAATAATGACCCATAAGAGAAATAAGATTAGTAACGTAAACACTGAATATAATACAAATAATACGGAATTCAAAGCCTCTGTAGTACTGCCGTATAAAGAAGGAACATTGGAGGCCCTATGTAGGATTCTTAATAAGGCTGTAATTAAGGCGGCATTTGAACAAATCATTTCACTCAGATACAAACTTTGTCGAGCTTAAGGGCTCGATAGGTCTATTAGGGAAAGATATAATTTACTAAACACCGTGTAATGATTGTTAGGTCAGTTACGTAGATCAAAGTAGTAATTCGGCGTCAGTTAGGTTAGCGGAGCGTAGAAATTTAGCTAGATGTAGAATCATTTAATCTGCTAAGTTAAGTAATCTGAAAAAACCCCAATCACTGCATCACAATCACCTGCAATGTAATCACACAATAGGGCGAGACAGAATTAAAGTATCGAAAAGTAATATTATTAGGTAGAAAAAGAAATACTATTCACTGAATCTTTGTTCATTGAATCAATGCCAGACATATGGGATTGAAATAACTCAACGCCCATACAAGATATACGGCTCAGCAGTCAGCTCCGTCCTCCTTTATGGCTGTGAGACCTGGCCATTAAGAGTGGAAGACATGAAAAGATTAGCTGTCTTTGATCATAGGTGCCTGCGCTCTATCTCCCGTGTGAAGTGGTATAATAAGGTGGGCAATACTGAGGTTAGGCATCGAGTGCTAGGTAAGGAGGGGAGAACAATCGACATGGTTGTGAAGCTACATCGACTGAGATGGTTAGGAAATGTGTTACGTATGCCTAGTCATCGCCTCCCTCGACGGGCAATGTTAGCTGACATAAGGTCAGGCTGGAAAAGAGCTAGC